TATCGTCGAGCTATAGTGACAGGTGTACGCATTTGGTGGTGTCATCACTTTTATAAGGTACTGGCAAACGTAAATTTAGTCAATCCCCTAGAATTTCTCCTAATGCTTAAGAGTAAAAGCACCGTCTGTACTGCCTATTGTGCATAAGTCGTTTCGTGCAGAGTGTCACTTTGTTAACCCTTCAAACTGCTTTGTAGACGTGATCATGGTAGCCAGGTTGAACCATACGTATTGTTACCGGAGTAAGATAAAGCACAACGCATTTATGCAGTCAGAGGATCTTTCGGCGAGCCTAGTCTAGGCAGGACAGCACCGCTAGTGATTCTGATTTCAAAAAATATATCCCAAGAAACTGTTATTTGTCATTACAGCATATTCCCAAAACGGTTGAATCCCGTTTGTCACCTTGCATTTTTCCTATTAGCTTTCTTTCGAATACCGGCTTATACTTACTATTAAGACATACCAAATTAAGCATCCTTTGTCCTTTAGGGTCTATGCATTTCCGCCGGCTAAACTAAACTCTCAATTTGATTACCTGTGGTAATTTCAGCCCCTAAAAACTTAGGCATGACCTATACGTCTTCGTACAGTCGATCTACGATTGATATACGGTCATTTTAACCCCGCCACGTAATAATCAAAGGTATTCATTAGACGTTCAAAGCTGAGGAGCATAGTCTGTGCCGAGTTTCTGCATAGTTCAAAGCTTCTACCTAGGCATAATTCAAGTTCTATTGACTGCGTGCATGGCTACTGTCAACATGTTTTCAGTTTAGCAAGAAACATTAAAAAAGATGATGCTACTGACGTCTTGTGTTGTGTACTTGTCAGTGGAGTTCGGTTATGAAGTTGTGCAGAAATCGTGTCACGCCTTGAACATTTCACTACTGCTAAGTAGTGTGAAATATATAGATACTCGGAATGTTTCCCTTTACAGATCGTTTACTTGTACGAACGTTTTTCCAAAAATGAAGATGGTGTCGTCATATCCCGATTTTCCTACAAAAATGATGACTTGTTGAAATTTTGTTAATTTTCAGATAATGCGAGCGAAAGAACGGAACCCAGGCATGTTTGTGAGTGCCTGGCAGGCTGATGAGGAGGACATTGATAAGTGGACAAAGAAGCAGCTTAGGCGTAAGAACGCTTGCCTGTTATACATGAATTTACCTACCCGTAAATTATTCACACGCAACAGCTTTTTCATCCTTCGTAAAAAAATCCTATATTGTAGCTGGCAAAAGGCAGTGAGGGGAACCCCGTTCTGCTAGTACCTTTATGCATATTTAGCTAGCCATTTAGATCAAGCATTGAGTTAGAAAAGCAGGCATTTTTGTCTTGCGTGGAAAACCGAGCTCAGGTATTCGGTAGTTCGAATTTTTCATTCTGCCGCCCTGCCACAAGTAAAATATATTAATCTTAAGAGTTCAAGTGTTTTAATTAACCGGGAATTGTGGACGACAACATAG